AACGAAGGAGAGGGATGTGATATGTTCACGGGACGGTGGGTGAAGGACGCATCTTACCCACTCTACGATCCCTCCACGTGTCCTTTCATACGACGCGAGTTTGCTTGCAAGAAAAATGGACGGCCCGATCTGGATTACTCTTCCTTCAGATGGCAACCTCAACACTGCAAATTAGCAAGGTATCTTATCGTCAATTTAATTATAATTACTTTAGTTTTTTTTATGGATATGTTGAAATCAAGGTATCTATCTACATTAGTGTAACGAAGGAAATCTTTGATTTGATAAAGTGTAGAAGAGCATATAAAATATTTTACAGATTTTTGTGGTAAACTTTTTCTTGTTGCAAATCACTTTTTTTAAGTGAAGAACCAATGATAAAAGAGAATGGCTATTTATATATTTGTTTTTGCCATAAGTGAATGTTTGTGTTCGGAATCTCTAAACTGCACGAGAAGGAAAACCAAAGCTCTTTTTTTGGTGACAACTGGTTGTTTCTGTCGTGAGTTTCACGCGCCACTAGTGAGATTACGACACGCACCAAACTCTCTAAGCTCTCTCATAAGAAGAAGATATAAATTCCCCCACACATGTGGGGACACTAATAACTCAACTCTTGACGGTTTTGCCCTTTCTATAAAACGCCGACGTTTTGTTCTTTTGTGTGTGTGTAGGTTCAATGGAGTGAAGTTTTTGGAGGAAAACAAAGGGAAGAAGATAATGTTTGTTGGTGATTCACTTAGCCTAAATCAATGGCAATCTTTGACATGTATGCTTCACTCTTCTGTTCCCAATTCTCCTTATAATTTAACCACACAAGGCACTATCACAACCTTCACATTCGAGGTAATCATATTGTTTTGGTTAAAGTAAAAGGTCTCTCAAATAGAACACCGGACTCGAATCAGAACCGGGAATAATGGTGAAATTTTTGTAGGAGTATGGACTGGAATTGAAACTTGATAGGAATGTGTATTTGGTAGACATAGTGAGGGAGAAGATTGGGAGAGTATTGAAGCTTGATTCGATCAATGATGGAAAAAATTGGTCAGAAATGGATACATTGATTTTCAATACTTGGCATTGGTGGAGCCGTAGAGGTCCTTCACAACCGTACGTTTGAGTATTCTTCAATCAACTAAAACTCTTTTTAGTTTTCTTATTCTTCACTTAATTACATACATTTTTGTATCCAAATTTTTGAATTCTTCTCTTTGGCAGATGGGATTTTATTCAAATAGGGAGTAACGTTACAAAGGACATGGACCGTATGGAAGCGTTCGAAATCGCGCTTGAGACTTGGGGCAAATGGGTCGATACCGTGGTAGATACTCAGAAAACTAGAGTGTTTTTCCAAGGAATTTCACCTTCTCATTACAAGTAAGTTGTTATACAATTTACTAAAAGCTATAATCACTCTATTTAAATTAAAATTTTTAAACGTTGGTTTTTGTTTGTTTGTTTAATAGGGGAGCTCTATGGGGTGAACCAACGGCAAAGAGTTGCTTTGGGCAGAAGGAACCACTTTTAGGAACAAATTATCCAGGAGGGTTGCCAACAGAAGTAGGAGTTTTGAAGAGAGCACTCGGGAAAATATCGAAACCGGTTACATTGCTCGACATTACGATGCTTTCATTGCTTCGCAAAGATGGTCATCCTTCGGCTTACGGTTTAGGCGGCCGAACCAGAAATGATTGCAGCCATTGGTGTCTCTCAGGCGTACCGGATACTTGGAATGAGATTCTTTACAATTATATGATTTAACTAAAAAAAGAAAAAAGATTTAAACATAGAGAACAAGATTATACAAGCATTTATTATTGAGTATTGATTCAAATTTGAATCTGAATAATAAAAAAAAAGGGTCATTTCTGATTTATTGAATCATTAATTTATGTTATCATATATATAGGGTACGTATGATTCAATAAATCGAACTATTAAGCAAAAGAATTGATCTAAAACCAAAATCGGAAATGTGTGGCCCAAGCAAGTAACTCGGATTACTGGTTTGTGTATATCCATGAGTGTTAGTGTTACAGTGATATGAATTTGTGTAAATTAAAATTTCTACTTAATTCGCTTAGTTAGGTCATTTTGTCAATGGAAGGATACTCTGTCAACAAAGTACGTATCCAGTTATTAAAATTTCAAGTGAATATCAAATGGAACTGATTGAGAATTTAAGTTTTTATCAAAGTCGAGCAAAAACCATATTTGTTAATTAGAATCTTTTTATCTGAGTACCAAACACAAATTAACAACCATGGAGACTTTACAGAATTCTCAACGTAACTAATAGTCTAATACTAAATTAAAAGAATCAGAATTAACATTAAAAGGGTCCCTAGCTCAGTGGTAGAGCATTTGACTGCAGATCAAGAGGTCACCGGTTCGAACCCGGTAGGGCCCTTATTTTTGAAACTTTTGTTTTTGTTCCTCTCTCATTCTGCTTACCATTTCGTTACGCCCTTGAAAAGCAACAGCAATTCTCAGAGCTTTCAAAACTAGTGTGATTTAGTGACTCAACACTCTTCTCTCATCTTGTTTTCAGTTTTCACTGCACTGCAACAACAACTAACAAGGAACAATTTCTCTATCAGCCATGTAAAATTCATACCAAAGGAAGCCATTTTGCTCTAACTTGTTTTCTCAAGAACAAATCAACAATCATTCATTACAAGACAATCCTTTAAACCTTTTTTTTTCTTCTTCATCTGTGTAAAAGAAACATAACGACTCTCCCCAAAGTAAGGACACAACACACCCAGAAAAAGGGTTCTGATGATGAGGATGTGATTTGAATTTCTAGAATCGAAAAGGAGTTTCAGGTCCATACTTGTTGTTCCTCAGGTTGAAATGATCAAACTTTGAACTATTACTGTACTCTACAGGCTTCACTGTATCTGATGCTTTTGTCTTTGGTTCTGTCTCGGTTGTTTTATCTCTATGACGACGCCTTGACCGCTCTTTTTGAATCTTGGGTTGCACAACCTCCCCCGAGGCATAGAACTCAGAATAGTCATGGCGTTTTGATGATGACCGGTGGTGCTTGGATGATGACAAAGCCGGGTCCTTTATTGCACTACTTGATCTCACCTTTGTTGTCTTATGTTGTTCCGGGTAACTATCACTTGGCTTAGGAAGGTGGGCATGTCGGGATTCAGAGATTGGTGCTGGGGCAGTATGCCTTTGGACTAGAGGTGGTTCTTGTTCGTCTTCAGGCATTACGAGTCTATCTTTTAATGGCCTTAAATTGGGGCTGGTTTTGAATCGGGTTGGGACAAGGTGGCTGGTTATAAACTCGAGAGCAAGTTTGCAGAGATCGATAAGGAGTTGCCCAAATGATGGCCAAACAGGTTCTTCCTTGGTTGTTGTCTCAAAGACAGGTCGAGAGAGTTTCTCTTTGCCTGGATGCTCCTCTTCAAAGCTGGTTTCTGATCTTAGCTGCTGTAGTAATATAAAAAACAGAAACCTTTGTTGGTTGTAGCATATGGCTGATTAGAAGCGGGAAAAAGGCGCGAAGGAGAAGAAAATGAAATTTACCGTCTTTGACAAATAAGAATGTCCAAAACCTTGCTGGAGCAAACAAGTAGCGTAACCAATGAGAACGGCACCAATAACCAATAGGATATCTGCACAAGAACAAAGGAGAAAGAGCAATTTTTAGCACAAGCAATGATCTTCGGTTAACACTATCTATCAGTTCCACCTCTTCACAAAATGTAAACGATCCAAGTAGTTCACGATAGGTGTTTTCGAACATCTTACCAGTTGGAGAGATTGAGCTATACTGATAGTCACAGTCCTCTTCGCTGAGAGAGATTTGGCGAAGAGCTGCGTTTCCTCTGTCGATGACCAGCAACGAGCAGGTAGACCGAACATATACAACATCAAAATCATTTGAGAACTTTGCATCCTCGCTTGGTCCATCTCTATACCCAGCTACATTTGATTTCCCCCCAGCTATTGTAGTAACACCTATTAAAGAAAATGTTTCCAGACTTAGAACACAATTATTCTCAAGTTGATTCAGAACTATATGAAATTTTCAACCTTGAGCAACCACCAATCTCCTTCAGATTGTTCTAGTAAAGCAAACTCGCATACCTGAATCTCCAATCTTTCGGATGGCGAGATTCAAAGTATCAGCGACATAAATGTTCCCTTTATCATCCATTGTTACTCCTCTTGGATGGTTAAAACGAGCCTCGCTCGGTTTTCCATCTGCATGTCCTGTTTTTCCTTGAAACGATCCAGCCACCAATCTTCCCCTGCTGTCTGCCCACAAGCACATAGATTACAAACAAAGTCATAACAATCTCCAACACTAGAAAACTACGTGAAAATCAAAATGTTTCATATGAAGCACGGAAAACACGAGTCTGAGCATATAAATTACAAAGCTCGAGATCATCCGACAATCGCATTAGTATATGTACTTATCATACATCATTGAGATGTAAAGAAGGAGAATTTACACTGAGACAAGGGAGGAGTGATTTTCATGATGTTGCTATTAACTTCATCAACAGCGTAAAGCTCTCCATCATCAGAAACTCTAATCTTGTAAGGAACAACACCGATTTCGTTTCCTTCCACAACGGTTTCGACCAAGTAACCATTCTCAAACTGAAGAACATTAGTATCTGCACAAGAATCAGACACACAAAGATACATCAAACCCAAGTTATACAACCAAGCTAACAAAAATCAATAGCCCTGAAACAAAACAATACAAAATTGAGCAATCACCTGATTGGGATATTTTCGATGATGATGATGATCCAGTAGTCCACTTGAGAACCCAGGACATGTGCTTAATCAACGAACCTAGTTTCCATTTACATAATTGACATAAAACCCAGAAATTCAACAGCGAATTCAGAGCCATATCATAGAAAAATTCACAGATTTACAAAGTGTGGATTTAATCAGAAAATACTAAAAATCAATCAAATAAGACAAAATTGAGACTGAGATAGCTCAAGTAAAGTTGGTAATTTTACCAGCAGGAGCAGCTTGAGCTTGAAATGGAAAGCTGTGAAGAAGGGTGAAGAAGATCGATAAAGTAAACAAAGTCTTTAAAGAAGAAGAAAAGCTCTCAACGAGTAGAATCTGAGATTCACCCATCTCTTTCCTGTAGCTTGGAACTAAGATTATGTTCGAATCGAACCCTAAGAGGAGGCGATTCACATATTCCAAGAACCAGTTTGCAGATGACAACAGTTTTTTTTTTTTGTTTCCTTTACTTTTTGTCTGAAAAGTTTGTCTC